CACCAATCTTCGTTCTACAATTTTACGATCTAATCGAGTTTCTCGCTGCACCAGTAAAATTCTGCACGACTGTACCGTTTCGCTTACCGACTAAAAAAAACCACGTGGTCTGCCTAATTGCGACTTATCTCGTTTTCCAAGCACTTCCATCCGACTCCGATGTTCGCGTGTCAGTCCCTTGCGTTTCTTTCATTTTTGTTCTCGTGCCCTTGGCCCTTCCGATCTCACCATTTTCTTACCACACAGTCGCTGTGGTGAAGTTCAATTTCGCGACTCTCTTTTCTCCTTTTGGCAACAGCAACTACTCTGCTCTGCCAAACTCGCTTTTCGATATTCCCTCTCGGTCTCCGTTGTCGTTGACCGCGCAGTCGCTGAGGTGGGCTTTGCGCTCCGTTCAGGTCGTTCGGCTTACTGCTCTCTCATGGGCTGAATTTCTTGGGCAACTGCGTAGGAGTTGTTCCCGGTCTCGCCTCTCTTCCCCGCTCTCCTCTCTTCCTCGCTCTTCTCTCTCCTTTCCACATATTGAATAATATATTTATGTTTGTTTTCGCCTAGGCTTATTATACTAATTATTTAATTCATTGTTTGTCTCTTAAAGCTAAAAAAATCAAAAGGAAAACAATAATAATAATAACGCAATACGCATATTTCCTTCTCCCCTCCGTGGGGATCGGAAATAATTGTGGCGGCGTTGGAATCGCCGTCTTCCTCGGGGGTGCACGAGTTCTGCTGCAGTTTGCTTCAAACCGGAACGCGGGACCTTGTCCTAGTGGTGGAATTATGTCCATCGTCACCTGCCGGACCTGGGTGACCCGATATCCCCCAGGGATTGTCGCCCAGTGATCCACTCGCTGACTTCATCCTCCTCTTCTTCGGACTCTTGTAACTCGCGGTACCGGTCCACCGTAGTCTCTGTTGTCCGCTGGTATACGCCTTGCCCTCGTCTGGGGTCACGTGACCGACCTCTGGTAGGTGAATAGTCGTCGTGTTGGGGCTCGTACATATGCCCCCCCAGGTTGGCAAAGCGTGCTGGGTGAGGGGACTGACACCGCCCGCGAGGAAAAGGCTGGTAACCTCTATACGCTGAGGGAGGGGATTCTTCCGTTGCGAAGCGTGGGTTTGACTCGTACCAGGGTGTTGGAGGATCCGAGGACGCGTAGCGGGGTGACGCATACTGGGGCGACGCGTACTGGGGCGACGCGTAGCGTGGGGACGTGCCCCGGGGGGATATACTCGCAAGTGAGGTGCCCCGGGTTGAGGAGGGGATTCTTCCGTTGCGAAGCGTGGGTTTGACTCGTACCAGGGTGTTGGAGGATCCGAGGACGCGTAGCGGGGTGGCGCATACTGGGGCGACGCGTAGTGGGGCGACGCGTAGTGTGGGGACGTGCCCCGGGGGGATATACTCGCAAGTGAGGTGCCCCGGGTTGACTCGTCTGGTAGCTCGCTCGAGTACGATAGGTTGTCCCCTTCTGCTCCCGTCGCAGCCTCCTCGTCGCTATCTTCCGTGTCCGCCAAGGTGAGGTCGACAGGAACGTCTTCCGATTCGGATCCACCGTCGTCCATCTCACCATCTTCGCCGGTCCACTCTTGAGTGGAGTCTGACTCTCCTTCTTCCATAGTATCTGTAGTGGGTAGATAACTTACTTTATATAACTGACCCTAAGATTTCCCTGCCTACTGGTGCAGCTTACAATAAACGCCTTATATCTAATTACAATCTTAAGATACTTGATGTTAGTTAGTGATACCTTACGTTACTTCTTCGCCTTCCCCTCTCTCATCGTCCCGGAATTCTCTCAGCTCTGCAATGTTGGCCACCTTCCTCTTACGGTCCCCGGCCCTCCGGATCCGTACGATGTTCGGCGATATAAACTTAAGGACCCGGAACGGGCCGTCATATTTCGGCGCCAATTTCGCCGCGAAGCCAATTTCGCCATTCACGTCTTCTCAGGTTATAGTGGCGCATCTGGTCGGCACTCGCCCGCTCCGCATTAATGTTGACGACCTCAAATATTTCCTTCATCTTGACTGCTTTGATTGTGAAATCTTCTGGGGTGTTCCCGTTCCCTCGTGTCTTCTCTTCGTATAGCGCCTTGGGCATCCTTGGTTCGCGGCCATGCATCAGGAAAATGGGGCTGAAGTTTGTAGTATCGGAGATACTGGAGTTGACTGCCAGTGTCATCTCTGGTAGAAGGTTGTCCCAACTTGACTGTTCATCTTCGATGAATTGCGCGATCATGGTTTTGACGGTGCGGTTTGCACGCTCCGTAGGATTCTCGTGGGGCGATTATGGCGCCGTATACTGTAACTCACATCCTAGTTCTCGCATATATTCTTTGAAGGCGCGGCTTGTAAACAGCGTGCCGTTGTCACACACGAACATGCGTGGGACCCCAAAATGTCCAAGAATATGTTCTCGGAATGCTTTGATTAGGTTCGCGGTGGTGGCCCTCTTGAGTGGGATGAGCTCAACCCATTTGGCAAACGCGTCGAAAAAAAACAACAACATTGTGTTTCCTGACTTCGATTTCGGCAAAGGTCCCACAAAGTCGGCACACCATGTCGAACAGGGTTCTTCTATTCTACGAGACAGAATCCGTCCCGCCGGCTTTTGTTGGTCGGACTTGAACCTTTGACAGGTTTGACAGTTTTTAACATACCGTTTAACATCTCGATACATCCCTGGCCAGAAGTACTTCGAAGCGACTCGTACGATCGTCTTCCGTATGCCAAGGTGTCCAGCCGTTGGTGCATCGTGGCACTCTGCCAGTACTCGACTCTGGTGGTGTTGAGGTACGCACAGCTTCCATGGCACGAAATCGTCATCATCTGGTCGGGTCCCTAGACGACGATATAGTTCTCCGTTCTCAAAGGTGAAATCAGGGAAATTCTCCGGGCTTCCTAAGATCTGCTCTCTTTTCCGTGTCCACCATCCACATTCTTCCTTGTCTGTTTCTGTACACTGTAATACCGCTAGGGGTTGGCAGGACAGAGCGTCCGCCACGACGTTTTGACAGCCCCTCCTGTACTTGACCGAGTATCGGAATTGTTGTAATTCGAGGGCCCATCGGGCTACCCGTCCAGATGGACTTTCAATCGAATTCAGCCATTTTAATGCTAGATGATCCGTGACAATGGTGAAATCGTATCCTTCGAGATAGCAGCGGATGGCCCATACGATCGCCAAACAATCCTTTTCGGTCGTGGTATAATTTTCTTCAGCTTTCTCCAGCCGGCGGCTTATGTAAGCGATTACTCTTTCCGTTCCATCCATCTCCTGAGTCAATATTGCTCCCAATCTGACGTCGCTCGCATCTGTCTGGACCGTGAATCGTTGGTCAAAGTTTGGGCAGGCCAGGGTGGGGGCGCTCGTGAGACGTTATTTAAGTGTGTCGAAGGCAGCCTGTTCTTCAGTATCCCAGTGCCACTTCCTTAGGAGCTTGGTCAACGGCTGAACAATCGTCGCAAAGTTCGGTACGAATCTACGGTACCACGATGCCATACCTAGACATCGTCTCAGTTCTTTCAGAGAGGTAGGTGGTCGTAACTCCCTTACTGCTGCTACTTTATCGGGGTCTGTATGAATACCATCTTCGCTTACCATGTGGCCCAGGTACTTGAGTTTTCTTTTAAAAACTGAGCATTTCTCCTTATTAATGCGTAGATTAGCAGCTCTGAGTCTCTGAAATACCTCTCGTAGGTTTCGTGTATGTTCTGCTAAGTCTCTCCCAATTACGGATCTAGTTCGGGTCCGATGACACTATCTAGGGCGCGTTGGAAAGTAGCGGCTGCGGAGTGTAACCCGAATGGCATGACACGCCACTGGAAGAGACCCCGACCAGGGTCTGTGAATGCAGTGTATTGTTTTCTGTCTGATGCCATAGGTATTTTCCAGTAGCCACTTTTCAGGTCTAATGTCGACAAGACTCGGTCCTAGCTTAGTCTCCCTAGGATATAGTTAATACGAGGTGTCGGATACCGGACTGGTATTGACCTCGCGTTTAATTGTCGAAAGTCGACACACATCCGCCACTCGTCATTCTTTTTACGCACTAAGACGGTGGGTGCACTATATAGTAACATACACACACCCACATATCTACCACATAAACATATTTACATTACGCATTTGTCACACCCAAAATCATCGGCTCCCAAGAGTCGCCAATTAATATAAACATCCTCTTGAGTTATAAACAAATGAAAGAACCCCAAATTGTCGGCTCCCACGACTGACCAATTAACGTAAACATCCTCTTGCATTATAAACAAATGTCCCCAAACTCCAAAAAGCTTTTATCCCCCAATACTGTAAAATTGCAGACGTAGGTCAAAACTAGATCGCTCTCTTGCTCAGTGCTCTCATTTTTGACACTCTCAATTTATCAATAAAGTTCTTTCTCCCAATCGAAGGTTTGATAAGCGCCAGCTTAGTTTATAAGTTTGAGTTTTAAGTTGAATCTTGTAAGGAGCAGACCTATCTCTCCCAGTTCGCGTTTACACTATTTTGTTAAATAAAAATTATATTTTTTTCAAAGTGTTAAATCCCGAATTTGTTATTGGCGCAGCCGGTAGGATATAACTTTTAATACGGTTATATCCTTAAAGAACCCAAACGTCGTTCGTCCCAGTGCAATTATAAACCAGATATCGCAGTGTCGGTTTGTGTCGCTAATATACGAACGGAAACCTCAATTCTTTGCAACACGCTATCGAAGCTCAGGTTGCGAGGTTTTTTTTTTAACAAAACATAAATCTTGACCCGTGTGACTGTCAAGTAACTAAAACAAAAAAAAAAATATAAACAAATTTTTTGCAAAAACCCGTTTTATTGTAAAAATTAGTGCCTTTGTTCGTAACACAAGGGTTACTAAAAAATAAAACACCTTAGTTCTCCCCCACCAGTGGTAAGAGACAAGGTATAACAATTTTAAATCAAATTCATAATACAAAACTTTTAAAATTGTGAAAAATTTATAAAACTAAATAAAAAACCAAAAATGGCAGAACCAGTGCTATTATTGTCAGAAAACCATCTAAATCAAGCCCTGAACCAAATCAGGCAAGTGCCGCAATTTGGAGGCAACACGCTCGAACTCAGCCCGTTCATCAGGAGGATAGACTTAATCCTGGAGTTGTACCCCACAACATGTATACGCCAGTCGAGCGTATTCTTCAGTGCGATTGAAATGCAGCTTCACGGAGATGCCCAGAGGATATCTCAACTATCAACAGCCAGATGCTGGAGGGACTTAAGGAACGCCCTCATCAACGAATATAAAACCCAGACGCCCTGCGAAGAACTACTACGACGTCTGTATAACACCCCCTTTCCTGGGTGTATACGTAAGTTTGTTGAGGACATTGAGTCCAAATCTTTTGTAATATTAAATAAATTAGCCTTAGAAAATAACGCTTCAAATACAATTTTATACACAAATGCTCTTAATAATACAGTTAAAGATGTTATTATGAAAAAATTGCCAGACAGACTTTTTATGACATTGGCTAGGTATGATATTACTAATGCTACTAAAATGTGTAGCACAACAAGAAGGTTGTTATGAAACATTTTATTCAGATCGAACAAAGAATTCACAAAGTCAAAACCAAGATAAGAGAAATTATCAACCCCAACAAAATACTAATAAACAACGAAACTATGATTCCCAAAACCAATACAGACTGCAGAATAATATTTCCCCAAATCAATATAAGCAACAGGCTAGTACATCTCAAGGCCAACATAAGCCTAATTATAATAAAAATAACAGCGAAACTTTTTATGAAAACTACCCATTATATCAAGCAACAAATCAAGAATTCCAACAAAAATTAAATTATAATCAGGTTAGGAATCCTATAAATTATCAATCACAACAAAATGGTGCTAATGCTCCTAATCGACCAATAAAAAGAAATCGCGAAAGTACGAGTGGCCATATGAAAATGGATACCGAAAATTTTCATCAACAAGCTTCGGACACCGAACAGGAAATAGAAACCCTTACATACGAATCATCATGAATAACCAAGAGTTCCGATGTGTTGTAGACACAGGCTCTTCTATTAATTTAATTAAAGAAATACAAAAATACACCTCTTAATGTTCATACCATAAATGGTAATATTCAGTTAAATAAATCCGTGTCCTACCATGCAAGTAAGCTTTGTCCGACCAAACAAACATTTTGGGTCCATAATTTTTCCGATAGATATGATATGATCATAGGAAGAGAATATCCCGAAGCTTGTAACGCAATTATTAATTATAAATCAAAAAAAGTTAATTTAAACGGTTATCAATTCGGAATGAGATTTAATTATAACGATTTCAAATATAAACAAGGAGAAGCAGAAATTGATTGCTGCGATCCCCCATTTTCAACAGATACACCTTTTAATTTTGCAATAATTAACGACTTGCAAGAAACCAATAAGTTTAGATTAGAACACCTTAATGACGAGGAAAAAGATAATCTTAAGAAAATTTTATATGAATTTAGCGACATACAGTACAAAGAAAGTGACAATTTGACTTTCACTAGTACTATAAAGCATGTCATTCATACAAAAAAATGAGCAACCGGTTTACAAAAAACCATACAAATATCCTCAAGCTTACGACCAAGAAGTCGATTCGCAAATGAGAGATATGATAAAACAGGGAATAATTCGAAAGTCAAATTCCCCTTATTGCTCACCCATTTGGATAGTACCTAAGAAAGGTGATGCATCTGGAACAAAAAAGTTCCGTATCGTAATTGACTATCGTAATTTAAATGAAATTACGGTAGATGACAAATACCCTATCCCGGTCATGGATGAAATATTGGACAAACTTGGTAGATGCCAATATTTTACCACTATTGACCTTGCAAAAGGTTTTCACCAGATACAAATGGATGAAAATTCCATTCCAACGACAGCTTTTTCCACCAAAAATTGCCATTATGAATATACTCGTATGCCCTTTGGATTGAAAAATGCCCCTGCTACCTTTCAAAGGTGCATGAACAATCTCTTAGAAGATTTGATCTACAAGGATTGTTTGGTCTACATGGACGATATTATCGTGTACTCCACTTCATTGGAGGAACATGTATTATCTTTGTGAAAGGTATTTGAAAAATTACGAGAAGCTAATCTCAAGCTTCAACTCTACAAATGCGAGTTTATAAAAAAGGAAACAGAATTCCTTGGACATATTATAACAACAACTGGTATAAAACCAAATCCTCTCAAAATAGAGGCAATACAAAATTTCCCTATACCCAAATCCCCAAAACAAATAAAATCCTTTTTAGGTCTTTGTGGATTTTATAGGAAATTTATCCCAAACTTTGCTAAAATAGCAAAACCAATGACAGCAAAGCTTAAAAAAGGCGTAACTTTAAATATAAAAGATAATGATTATGTACAAGCGTTTGAAAAACTTAAACTTTTAATAATGTCCGATCCAATACTTATATACCCAAATTTCGAAAAACCATTTTCATTAACAACAGATGCAAGTAATATTGCTATAGGAGCAGTATTATCGCAAAATCATAAACCAATCTGTTATGCCAGCAGAACTCTTAATGTACACGAAATTAATTATTCGGCAATAGAAAAAGAACTTTTAGGTCAGGTCCTATCTTTTTGTCAGAAAATGTCTGATCCTAAGTGATCACAGGCCTCTAGTATGGCTCAATAATATTAAAGAACTTAATATGAAATTACAACGCTGGAAAATCAAACTAAATGAGTTTGATTATGAAATAAAATATTTGCCCGGTAAAGAAAACCATGTGGCAGACGCCTTGTCTAGAATAAGAATAGAGGAAGCCTAATTAGGAGAGACTTCCAGTAATTCAAATACAATAACAACAGTAGCTACATTGCATAGTGGACCAAAAGATAACCAAAACCACATTTCAATAACAGAAAGACCACTGAATTATTATAACAGACAACTAGAATTTATAAGAGGAGACTTAAATGAAGTCGAAGTAATAAATTATTTTCATAAAACAAAAATCATAAAAACATATAAAGAAATGACTATAGAATACGAAAAACAATTAATAATTGAATACTTTTCTAATAAGAAAAGCGTAATATATTTTCCAATTGAAACAGACTTTTTAATTTTTCAAAAGGCATACGTTGAAATTATTTCCCCAGATAACTTAACTAAAACAATGAAAACTAATAGTAAATTAATAGATATTAACACTTACGCAAAATTCAAAGAAATTATTATTAAAAAAACACACAGAGAACTATTACATCCAGGAATAGAAAAACAAACAGCACTTTTTAAAGAAAAATATTATTTTCCCGATCACCAAAAATTAATTCAAAATTTTATTAATGAATGCGAATCGCAAAAACAGAACATAGAAATACTAAATTAGAATTCGAAATAACCCCAGAAATTTTTAATCGAAGAGAAAAATATGTCATTGATTTTTATATGATAGATAATAAACAATTTTTATCTTGTATAGACATTTATTCAGAATTTTCCACCTTAATAGAAGTCAACAGTCGAGATTGGTTAGAAGCAAAAAGAGCATTAACTAAAGTTTTTAATGAAATGGGTAAACCAAGCCAAATTAAAGCAGACAAAGATTCAGCTTTCATGTGTGTAGCATTGCAACTTTGGCTAAAATCTGAAGATGTTGTTATTGATATAACAACAAGCAAAAATGGAATTTCTGACGTCAAGAGATTTAATAAAACGGTAAATGAAAAGTTAAGAATCATAAACAGTGAAACAGACATAGAGAATAAGCTAACAAAATTTGAAACTATTCTTTATGTCTATAATCATAAAACAAAACATAACACGACAGGCAGAACTCCTGCAGATATTTTTATTTTCGCTGGAACTCCAAAATATAATCCACTAAAATCAAAAACCACCAATCCGTTTAAAAAGACAGGAAAAATCACAAAATTAGATGATAATCATAACGAAGAAGTTAACAGAGGAAGAAACATAATACATTATAAGTCTAAATATAAGAAAACAAAGAAAATTAACGAAAATAAATACGATAATTCCAGATGCACGCCAAATGAAAACCAAACCTAACTTGTTGATCAACACTATCAACATCTTATTAATTTTAATACATTTTACAAAACTTACCAATGGCCAAAATTTGGAAATTAATCCCGTTCAAGCAAAAAACGGTTATTTAATATTTAAAACAGGAACCTTGGACTTACCAACTAATTACGAATGTCATAGTTTAACCGTCAACCTAACCAAAACTGAACTAACGTATACTAATTTAATTAAACAATCAGAAGAATTTTCAGGTTTAAAACAAATTATTTACTTAACAGAGAAATTAAACAGAGAAATAAATGGAATTAGAATTGCAAAACGTAGCAAAAGAGGTCTTATAAATTTTATAGGCACAACATACAAATATCTATTTGGAACATTAGATGAACAAGATAAAGAAGAATTAATAAATAAAATTGAAAATTTCGAACAAAACGCAATTCAAGTTAATGAACTTAATAAAGTAATAGATGCGGTAAACAAAGGTATTGAAATAATAAATCATTTAAGCTTGGTAAATGATGTAGCATTACTTATTTTTAATCTACAAGAATTTTCTGAATATTTTGAGGACATAGAACTAGGAATGCAACTTACTAGACTAGGCATTTTTAACCCTAAATTACTTAAGCATGATACTTTAACACATGTTAATTCAGAAAAATTATTAATAATTGTAGGGGTCCGAGTTATGTTATTATTAACAAGAAAGGAAAGCTAACTTCGGGCGGAGCCGAAGTTGAAATACCCTTGCAGAATATTCTGCAAATTATATTCTCCAAAATTATTCATATGATGCATTTTTAATACTCATAAAAATCCCAACTTCCTAACTTTACAAACACCAAAGTTATGGCATTTCCGATCAATCAGTTATATGGCAGCTATAAGATATAGTCGGCCGATCCTTATGAAATTTGGTAGGTCGGATTGATTGGCCAAATATAAAACCCATAGAAAATTCCAACTTCCTAACTTTACAAACACCAAAGTTATGGCATTTCCGATCAATCAGTTATATGGCAGCTATAAGATATAGTCGGCCGATCCTTATGAAATTTGGTAGGTCGGATTGATTGGCCAAATATAGAACCCACAGAAAGTCCCAACTTCCTAACTTAACAAACAGCAGAGTTATGGCATTTCCGATCAATCAGTTATATGGCAGCTATAGGATATAGTCGGCCGATCCCGGCCGTTCCGACTTATATACTGCGTGCAAAGGAAAGAAGGGTGTGTGCAAAGTTTCAACTCGATAGCTTTAAAACTGAGAGACTAGTTTGCGTAGAAACAGACAGACGGACAGACGGACAGACGGACATGGCTATATCAACTCAGGAGGTGATCCTGATCAAGAATATATATACTTTATAGGGTCGGAGATGTCTCCTTCACTGCGTTGCACACTTTTGACCAAAATTATAATACCCTCTGCAAGGGTATAAAAAGACCGTTTTTGGATTTCTTTGCGTTTTTGTTTCATTCTTTTGCAGTTCATAAGTCCACTACGTCATATAGCTCCCAAAGAAACTATCGGGGAAAAAAATATAACTTCCTTAATTCTTAACATAACGAGTTTATAGATAATCGGAGATATATAATTTTTTAACAATTTAAGAAATATGGTTTGAGTTTTATAAAAATCAGACGACTTTATCATAAGTGTAAGTAAGTGTGAGTACAACTGTTTACTGTTGGCCCGCATAAAAAAGTTATTAGAAAAGCAAATGAACCCAAATTTGTTGTATTTGACTATTTATTACATCTTTATTATCTTTGATTATTTATTAACATATACAGAACACAATAATATTATTAATTATTTTCGCAAAGAAATAGAAAACAAAATCAACTCGGCTATGCTCATTTCTAACTTTTTGAAACAGCCAATTTTTTTAATACCTTAATATCCCTTATTTCTAATTACACTTTTAATTCGGTAAATTAATTAATATTAGAAGCTAAGATTAGCTAAACTAAACACATTGAGTTTTTAAATTATATTTTTCAGGTTATTGGCCTCTTGGCTTTACCTGGTGCAACATTTATGTGACCTGCGACGTGCTGGCCTGCTCGTCGAGCATCCTGCACATGTGCTTCATAAGTTTGGGACGCTATCTGGGCATAAGGAATCCATTGGGATCGAGGCATCGATCAACAAAACGATTGGCTGGTATTAAGATTGCTATTGTCTGGGTGATGGCCATGATGGTATCCAGCTCGATAACAGTGCTGGGTAAATTATAAGAAGTTGGGAAGGCTTGAAAGTTATTCATGAATTTATTTTTCGGGTACTCAGGTCTGGTCAACGAGAAAAACATTATGCCCGAGCCCAATGTCTGTGTAATCAACAACCGAGCTTTCTTTGTTTTTGGGTCTCTGGTGGCTTTCTACATCCCCATGCTAATGATGGTCACCACATACGCTCTGACCATTCCCCTCCTCCGGAAGAAGGCCCGTTTTGCCGCCGAGCATCCGGAAAGTGAACTGTTTCGCAGGTAAGGGCTCTAGCGAATAAGATCCTTGACTAATTTCCACAGATTGTTGCATATTGTTATTATTAAAAGTGTTGCAATAATCGGCTTAAGGCTTCCCATCAAATTAAAAGTGCTAAAAATAAATAATTAAGCTATTTAGTTATAAAAATTTAGATTAAAAAAAGGAATTGATCTCAAATCGTCTCTAAAACAAACTTTTACTTAAAAATACAAATAGAAAAAAATACAAAATAAAACATTTTTAAAAATTATTTCCTCTATTACCCTCTCAACACAATGATTCTCTGGGCGGCAACTAAATTTCCGTCACAGACTCAAGGGCTTAAATCGTTATTGCGCTTTCTCTTTTAAACACTGCTATTTCTGCCACTAATTGGCTGCCAAAGGTCAATCGAAATTCGACCAAGCGCAAATTAGCCATAACTCAATCAACCACCAATTCATCCAACCAATTCATCCAGCTTGCTCTACACTCAAAAACATGTGAATCATTTCAATCAATTTCAAATGTTATTTTTGAAACCAAATTACGAAAACTAAAATTCATACCTATCTAAAAACATTCTTAAGATTCCCAAAAATCTCTTCCAAATAAATTTCAGCCTTAGCTAAAATTTCCAAATCCCGTAAATGCGGCCGAATGCAGCATTCTAAAGCCTCCTTACATTCACAATTATTTTTATAAAAAACTTTTTTAATTAATTATTTATATAACCACACAAAGTTAAATATGTTTACCTGTAATTTGCGTTTTTCAGGCTGGGTGGACGATTCACCATTAGGTCGCAGCACAGCCAGCAACAGTTGCAGATGCACAGCAGCTTTTCCAGTGGCAATAAACAATTCCTGTCAATGGGCGACGGCAATCGCAACTTTAACCACGCGGGGGGAGGAATGGAAGAGGGAGCGGTTCTACGGGGGGGTGCTACCAGGGGAAACAGCGTAGAGCCCGCCGAACGTCCTTTGATGCAGCAGCGAACGACGAGTTGCAGGAGCATCGGCACGGTCAGTTTCCGCAATGTGGCCAATGGCAGTGGGGGAGTCGGAGGAAGTGGGTCCAGGGGTGCCACCACCGCCCGCAGCAGCTTCCGGTTCTCTGGCGGCGGCATCTTGCGGCACTCGTCGTCACCCGCCTCGAGCTGCCACTCCACTAACAAGTCGCACTCGAGCAGCTTCTGGCGCAAACACGGCGGCAATCCCAACCTAATGGACAGGTGAGTGGATAACACTTCAAAAGTTAATTACTGGTGTGGCGACTTATCGTGGTTTATGATGGTAATATTCTTAGGACAACTTCAAAATAAATCTACATAGAATTATATATCAAACTAAACTGTTTCATAACATACTTTACCTTGGTCTTCAGTTTTTTGTGAGTGAATAATTTTGGGTATAATAATAATACATTACAAAAGGCGTAGCCTGGCTTTAAATTGGGTTTCTTCATTAAATATCTCGTTTCAAGTGACTTACTCGCCTTGAGTTCATTGGGGTGAAAGCTTGTAGATTAAAAATCAAAGTGCTAATCGATTTGAGCAAATATCGAATTTAAATTTTGCCTTGACCACGATTTCAATTTATCTATTAAATTGAAAGCTATTAAGGCTCGGCAACATTGCCACCAGTAAAGACAAATGTAAGCGACTCCCAATTCTCCTCCAGAAACAAACTAACAATCAAAAATAATAAGACCAAGGAATATGTTGGATACACTACAGATTAAAGTACGCTAATACTTTCTGATACAGTAATATTCCCAAATAAGATAAATTATAAAACAAGAAAGAAATTTAAATGTAGCGATACATGTAGCGAGTAGTAGTATACATTTCGGAAAAGCTATATATGATAGCTGCCACAAAAACAATCTGAGATATACACATTTTTTATATTCTTAAATATACATTATATCTTTAATTTAATAAAAATAGAAAAACATAAATATCGGCTGTTTGAGATCTATCCGCAAACTATTAGGAAAAAATATAAATATCGTTATAACTTTAAGTGTCAGAAATATGTTTTAAGTTTTACATAATCATATATGATAAAGCTGCTAAAGAACTGATCGATAACATTTATTTTAATTATACAAGCTAAAAATCGATATAAAGTTTTTAAAATAGTTGTTAAAGCTGCAAGAGTGTAAAAACATCGGCTTGCTACTAGTGTTAGCTTCTGTGCACAACAATGCTTTCAAATTTATTACATTTGTTATATTATGCTTTAACTTCCGCTAGGCGGAAAGTTTTAGGGAGAAAGGTTTTGCCATCATTCAAAGTATCTTTTGTTACTAGTTTCTTTTAAGTATAATTTTACAGCATTTAATATGTAAGGAAGAAATAAAAACTGCAAGTAACAAGAAAGGAAAGCTAACTTCGGGCGGAGCCGAAGTTGATATACCCTTGCAGAATATTTTATAAATTATATTGTCCAAAATTATTCATATGATGTATTCTTAATACTCATAAAATGTCCCAACTTCCTAACTTTAAAAACACCAAAGTTATGTCATTTCCAATCGTTCAGTTATATGGCAGCTATAAGATATAGTCGGCCGATCCTTATGAAATTTGGTAGGTCGGATTGATTAGCCAAAAATAAAACCCATAGAAAATCCCAACTTCCTAACTTTAAAAACACCAAAGTTATGGCTTTTCCGATCAATCAGTTATATGGCGGCTATAGGATATAGGCGTCCGATCCTTATGAAATTTGGTAGGTCGGATTGATTAGCCAAAAATAAAACCCATAGAAAATCCCAACTTCCTAACTTTAAAAACACCAAAGTTATGGCTTTTCCGATCGTTCAGTTATATGGCAGCTATATGATATAGTGGCCCGATCCGGCTCGTTCCGACTTATATACTACCTGCAATAGAAATACAACTTTTGGGAAAGTTTCAAGCAGATAGCTTTAAAACTGAGGGACTAGTTTGCGTAGAAACGGACGGACAGACGGACAGACGGACAGACGGACGGACAGACGGACGGACAGACGGACATGGCTAGATCGACTCTCCTGGTGATGCTGATCAAGAATATATATACTTTATAGGGTCGGAAATGTCTCCTTCACTGCGTTGCAAACTTTTGACTGAAATTATAATACCCTCTGCAAGGGTATAAAAATACACGTTGGATATATTAATTTTCAATATGTCTTTATTTTTGTGTCCACACTCTACGCTTGTAAAACGACGACTGACTCGATGACGACTGACTCGATGACATATCGATATACCTACATACTTATAACATCTGCATACATATGTTATACATAATTTTAACAGTGATCGTTGGCCTTATACTTAACTTAGAAATATACTTGTTATTATATTTATTATACATGTGCATTTGCAACTATAAATAGTAACGTAACAGGCGATCCTGCTACAATTCGGCCTTCCTGACAACTAAGATCTCCTGTTCTTTACGAATTACAATCATCTTCTTACACACTACTTACAATAATTTTAACTTTTCGTATTTTTATTAATCCAAGGTTTAATGTTTTGGCTACTCCATATACCCTTGTACGGGTTACGTGTCAATTGGAAACCCTCCACATCTTTTATTAAAAATCTATCATATCTCAAAATCTTGTACATATATCATATATGGCCCTTTATGTTTTGGGATTAACTTTCTTGATTGTCCTGGAGTGCTCTCAAAATTTTTAACCATTATATAGTCACCTATTTTGTACCCAGCAACTTCTTTCCTTTTATCATTATAATGTTTTTCGTTGTTCATCTGTGCTTCTTTTTGCTTTTGAGCTGCTTCTCTTCGAATTTTATTTAAGTCTCTATTTTCCTCTACATTATCCATTTCCTCAAGTTTTTGTTTTAGTTCATCTACAACTTTTCCCTTTTGTTCAATGCCAAACAACATCCTACTTGGAATTTGACTGATACTTTTTTGAATTGTATTGTTGAGTGAGTATTCTACGTTTTCAATCACAGTGTCCCAGTGCATACCTTTCTCAGAATCAGTTAAGTTGGCTATCATTGGACCCAAACTCCGATTGACCCTTTCTACTTGGCCATTGGCTTGCGGAGATCCCGTTGCAATTTTAACATGCTTTATACATAATTTATTTAAAAATTCCGCGAATTCTTCTGAAGTGAAACAGCTACCCCTGTCTGACACAATGCATACTGGTCTACTATAAGCACGTAAATAATCTGATAAAGCTACTATAACTTCCTTGGTCTTTGTTGTCTTTTTCGGATACAGCCTTATAAATTTAGTAAACCCATCTATAACAACAAACAAATGCTTTTGAGATCTTCCTGCATCAATTGGTCCGTAATGATCTATGTGTACAAGCTCAAATGGTTTATTTCCTTTCGGAATACTTTGTAACAATCCCTCACTTTTTCCGGATTTAGGCGAATATGCAATACATCTTAAACAATTTTCTATATGCCTCACAACCTTTTCCTTCATTTTTGGGAACCAATATGTCTTCACTATTGCATTTATAGCTTTGTCCCTTCCAACGTGCCCAAATTCATTATGATATTTAAACAGTACCATTTCTACCATTTCCTCCGGAACATAAAATAGTAATCTACCGTCATTTACTTTTCTATACACCACCCCATTTCGCATCTCAAACAGTTTGTCTTCTGATTTCTCTAATTTCTGTATTAATTCTTTTATTTTACTATCTCTGTGTTGACAAATTATTAAATTATCCTCAAAGCTATTAGTTTCAATTACGCATATATTTGAACATCTGCTTAACGCATCTACATGCTGCATTCTCTTTCCTGGCCTGTGCTCTAAAACAAAATCATATTCTAATAATTCTAACGCCCATCTAGCTATCCTTGGGTTCAACTCGACTTTGTTTAATGTTAGCGCTAACGAATTACAATCTGTGACTACCTTAGACTTTTTTCCTTGAACATAAATCCGAAACCTCCTTAGCGCATAAATAATTGCTAATGTTTCTAATTCGAAACTATGAAATTTAGCTTCATCTTTTGTGGTAGCCTTGGAAAAAAAAAATATAGGATGTAGTTTATTATCATCTTTTCTTTGAAACAATAATTCTACTTCATCCTTATAGTGGTATAATGCTAAAACTGGCGCTTCTGGCCCAGAAAACTCCTAACTAAATGTACCTTGTCCGGGACAGGGATATTTTGCACTGCTTCTATGCCTTTATTATTTGCCTGTATTCCTTTGCTCGTAATAACAAAACCTAAATACTCTACACTCGATTGTAAAAATTCGCACTTGTCCATCCTTAATTCCAATTTATTCCTTACTAATCTGTTTAATACCTCTTTCATTGTTTCATAATGTTCTTCTAAATTCTCACTAGCTATCATAATATCATCCATATATATAATTACTTTATTTTTTCTTATCATATCGTCAAAAATTTTGTTGATAAACCTTTGAAATACTGCCGGAGCATTTTTCATCCCCATTGGCATTCTCAAAAACTCGTATTGACCTAAAGGTGTAATGAACGATGTATACTTGACTGACTCCTGATCAACAAATACATGAAAATATCCGTGCTTTAAGTCTAACTTTGAAAATATAGTTTTATTAACAAGCCTGTCCAACAAATCATCAATTAGTGGCAACGGATAGTTGTCTTTCGTTGTTACTTTATTCAATTTTCTATAATCTATGCATAACCTTAGATCCCCTGATTTTTTTCTTACCAGCACTATAGGTGAACCGTATTCTGATTCACTTGGTCAAATAATGTTATTTTTCAAATATTCATCCAACAATACTTGTAATTTTCCCTTTTCCATATAAGATAATCGTCTTGGCGAACAACTAAACGTTTTGGAATTTTCTAAAGTCAATTTAATTTCACATTTTACTTCGGGATTTTCTGGTCTTGGTTTACTTATATACTCATCCTCCAATATTTTAATAAACTGACACCGAACCTTGTAATCTACTTTTTCATCTATTCTATACTCATGTTCATTCTCATCTATATTTATATTTAATAATTCCCTCTCAACTTCGTTAAATGTTTCTTCTTTTTCCGATTCATTACTAGAATTTTCATTATTTTCATAAAAATTTTCGTCCTTCTTAACACCATATTCTTCATAACAATTTTCTTCCTCTTCTTCCATTTCATAACATTCTTCTTCCTTTTCATAATATTCTTCTTTCTCTTCACAACATTCTTTTTCTTCTTCCTTTTTATAATCTTCTTTTTCTTCATAAAGTTCTTTTTCTTCTTCCTTTTCATAATCTTCTTTTTCTTCATAAAATTCTTTTTCTTCTTCCTTTTCATAATCTTCTTTTTCTTCATAACAATTTTCACCTTCACAACTATTTTCTTCTTTTTCATGGCAATTTTCAGCTTTTACATAACAATTTTCATCTTCATAACTATTTTCTTCTTTTTCATAACAATTTTCAGCTTTTTCATAACAATTTTCATCTTCATAACTATTTTCTTCTTTTTCAAAACAATTTTCATCTTCATAACTATTTTCTTTTTTTTCATAACAATTTTCAGTTTTTCATAACAATTTTCATCTTCATAACTATTTTCTTCTTTTTTCGCTTCAACAGTAATTATTTTAAAATTACATAAGTCTAAATTTATGTTGCACGCTTCCATGAAATCTCTTCCCAAAATAGCATTATGACTCATAGATTCTTCGTTCACAATTATTAAATGAAAATATACTTTATTAGAGTTTTTGAAAATGTAAGATAATATTTTTCCTTTAGTTTGCAAATAACTTTTATTTAGACCATAATACCGCTTGTCCTCCGGCAATACTTCAATATTCTTGGGTACCATACAAGTTTTAATTAAAGAAATCGGACTACCCGAATTTATGAGTCATTCTAAAATTATTGGGTTATTAGAAAAATGTACAAAATGTATTTTAACATGTCTTACGTAATTGTTGTCAGCTCTCTTGTTGCTTTTGTTCTGTGCACATTGTCCTACCCAGTGTCCCATTTCTCCGCAAGCAAAACATGATCCGGGCTGTCTTTTCGGCTTCAGACAATTTTTAGCGAAGTGGCCTCTAGCATTACAGTTGTGGCACCGAATTTCGTTGCCAACAGCTCGATCCACCGACGCAGTCTCTTTTTCGGGTACGATCGTTCGCTTCTTCGGTAAGTACACCTCTGCAAACGCTCGTCTCATATGTGCGACATCCCGAAAACATTGAATTCGCGCTTGGTTGCGCAAATTTCCGTTTGGTATGCCCTCAATAATTCAATCTAGTAGTTCTTCTTGATCCAAACTGACGTTCTAGGCTAGCATCAGCTTTCCATCTAGGTACTTTCCAAACTTCTCATCAGATTGCCAGATACGAGACTCGAATATCCGGCGCTTTTCTAATTTCGACTGCGTTTCACCGAACATCGAAATCATCTGGTCGCATAAGTCATCCATTGGTTGCAAGGCCCGACTTGGATTCTCGTATAACCAGGTGTTAACTTTGCCTTTGACCTTGCTTACGAAAAGCATGCGCATTTGAGTTCCAGTAATTCCATAAATATTGGAAATATTTTTCATTTGCGCTATCCACATGCGAGCACATGTCTGTCCGTCGTATACACTCAAAGCTTCCACTGCCATCCTCCAAGACTTTTCGCCGTTGATATTTTCGCCTTGTCCGTTTTCGTTGGCCATTCGGTTCTGATTATTACGGCTCTGCATCATTTCTTCTACTTCTGCGTGGCCTTGAATAGTCGAGTTGCGTGTTTGCTTTGGTGTCAATAAATGTAGTTCGACGCTTTGCATTAGCTGGCGCAATTCACTGACAATATCGACGTCTCTTTCTGTCTTGCGCACATCGACGTGTAGTTGCTCGTTCTCTTCCTGGTTCTCCTTCTCTTCGTCTTCGTTGAAAGAATCCGTTCGGTTTTCGGCTTGGTTATTTGCGTCGTCTCCTTTGCCATACAATCCCAACAATAACTGTTCTTCTTGCTGTTGGCCGGTTTTTGCCGACTTCGAAGCAGCCACGAAATTGTGCATTTCTTTTTGAATATCATGTGCAAATTCATCCGTATTGCTCATTGTGTTCAACCTCAGAATTAATTCGTCTTTAGTGCCCGTTGTTGGCATATTTAGCACTTCTAACCATCTCTTTAACTGCACTACTGACACTGAGTTTAACTCCGAATTGTTATTCATTCTGGTTACGCCCACTTCTGAATTTGTAGGGGTCCGAGTTATGTTATTATTAAAAATACACGTTGGATATATTAATTTTCAATATGTCTTTATTTTTGTGTCCACACTCTACGCTTATAAAACGACGACTGACTCGATGACGACTGACTCGATGACATATCGATATACCTACATACTTATAACATCTGCATACATATGTTATACATAATTTTAACAGTAATCGTTGGCCTTATACTTAACTTAGATATATACTTGTTATTATATTTATTATACATGTGCATTTGCAACTATAAATAGTAACGTAACAGGCGATCCTGCTACATAATAAAAACCTCTACTTGGTTACAAACCAATACTAATCAAATATTGATAATTTCTCATATCCCAAAAGACATTATAAAAACTTCAATATTCAAAATTTTGCCTTACCCAAATGAATTTAATAACATATTAACAGAACCTTTAGAAGACAAATACTATTTTCAAAATAATGAAATATTTTCATTTAACACAAAAGAAAGAGTTACAAATAAATGCATTATAGGAATATTAAACCAAGCCAATGCCGAATGTAAATATACAAAAATGTATAAAAAGTATGAGACAAATTATATAGAGCCAAATATTATAATTACTTGGAACTTACCGAAAACTATTTTAAACCAAACATGTATAAATCAAGCAATAGTTGTCGAAGGAAATAAAATCGTAAAAGCATTTAATTGTTCTGTACAAATCGAAGAAATTTTAATAACAAATACTATAATGTATTACACACAAACTATTTATGTTAACAATAATGTAACAATGATAAAACCACTGTCAATAATTGAAGCAAAAGATATAATAAGAATACATACAAGAATAAATAACACATTTCAAATTATAATACTTACTATTTTAATTGTAATAATTATAACTTTAATTATTTACTTTATCTATAAATTTAAGAGTATTCCGAGAAACATTGTAATTAAATATAAAAATCAAAACAAAAACAATACTAAGAACCCAGAAAATCTAACAGAATTAAAAAATATTGCACCAAATGAAAATACCCTACAATTAAACGAAAATACTACACAAACTAATATACCCACTCACATATACCCTAATATATCCGCCTGAGGACAGGTTTTTTTCTAATGGATGGGGAAGTAACATACCCACACCCACATATCTACCACATAAAGTAACATACACACACCCACATATCTACCACATAAACATATTTACATTACGCATTTGTCACACCCAAAATCATCGGCTCCCAAGAGTCGCCAATTAATATAAACATCCTCTTGAGTTAAAAACAAATGAAAGAACCCCAAATTGTCGGCTCCCACGACTGACCAATTAATGTAAATATCCTCTTGCATTATAAACAAATGTCCCCAAACTCCAAAAAGCTTTTATCCCCCAATACTGTAAAATTGCAGACGCAGCTCAAACCTAGATCGCTCTCTTGCTCAGTGCTCTCATTTTGGACACTCTCAATTTATCAATAAAGTTCTTTCTCCCAATCGAAGGTTTGATAAGCGCCAGCTTAGTTTATAAGTTTGAGTTTTAAGTTGAATCTTATAAGGAGCAGACCTATCTCTCCCAGTTCGCGTTTACACTATTTTGATAAATAACAAGAAAGGAAAGCTAACATCGGGAGGAGCCGAAGTTGATATACCCTTGCAGAATACTCTGTAAATTATATTCTTCAAAATTATTTATAAGATGCGTTCTTAATACTCATAAAAAATCCCAACTTCCTAACTTTAAAAACACCAAAGTTATGGCATTTCCAATCGTTCAGTTATATGGCAGCTATAGGATATAGTCGGCCGATTCTCATGAAATTCGGTAGGTCAGATTGATTGGCCAAAACTAAAACCCATAGAAAATCCCAACTTCCTAACTTTACAAACACCAAAGTTATGGCATTTCCGATCAATCAGTTATATGGCAGCTATAGGCATATCCTTA